TCAGGTGACAAACTGTGGAGCCCTACCTAACTCCCTGAGCCTCAGTATCCAAATCTGTAAAAGGCTGACTGTTGTGAGGCTTAGAGCTGGTGAGTAGGAAGAGTACAGCACAGGGAAGGTCCACAAGTCTTTGTTGAAGGAAAAACATAGGGATGTCTGGAGGGAAGGGAGGGAAGGAGAGAGGGAGGAAGAGAAGCAGTGATACAAAGAAGCTGTCTTCAAACCATGCCATTGGAGAAGCTGAGAGAGTAAAACTGCTCATGGTGGAGAAAAGCAAGGCTATGGAAGGTTTGTATGGAACAGGTTAAGGGGAGAAAGGAAACGGCTTTCTAAGGATGAGCGGGCCCTAAGGGGAGTGGACTGATTTGAAGGGCAGCAGGAGCCTCATCTCTAAAAGGGTCCACTCACAGACAAAGCCCCATCCTTGGTAGCTGTCGACAATTCCCTAGTCTTGGCTCAGAGGGTCACTTTCCCACTCTGGCCATATTTGTCTACTACTATTATTAATCCCTACCTTAAAATCACTATACTTTAAAAAAAAAAAAAAGCATGCTTTCAATTTATAATCTTCAGCCTTAATGTGAGTAAAATATTCATTTGAAAACGGGTTTGATGTGATGCTTTTTTATAATGCATATAAACAAGTATGTAACCATTAGGATGGAAGAGGCTGTCTGTGTCCCACAGATCCATCTCCCCCTCACGATGAGAAATGTGCTCTGCTGGGTATGAATCTAGACTAAACATGCTCTGGGGCCCTGTCGGGCGCAGGGTTCTGTTATCTGAGGTTGTCTGAACACTGATAATGCTTGGCATCCGCAGGTCCTTTCTGATCTCTCAGCATATTTCATCTGTGTATTGCATCTAATCCCCATGACAACCCTGAGGGCCAGGCAGAGAAGTCACAGATGGAGCCTGGGCCCATGCAGCACAGCGCAGGCCCCACCCAAGCCCTGTAGATAGTCACAGAGGACCAGGAGTGGAGCGCAGAGCTCCGACTCTCCATCCCACCCCCTGGGCTCCACTATTTCACGTGGCACAGCCGAATCCATCCTCCTCTTGGCACTGCCCGCGATCTCACTAGTGGAACAACTCGTATTAAAATTGTGATGCTTCATCCATGGAAAAGCCTGCTGCCTGGCTCTCTAGACAGAGAATATGCCCTTCTGAGCCCCAGAATGTCAACTCAGCAACTGGTGATGACCCACATTGTCATTTGGCCATCTGGCCATCAGCAGGCCCCCATCTCGTGAAGCTGCCAAGAATAGGAAAGGACATTAATATTAGGGACATTAAGAAGCTACATTCACATCGCCGCTTCATGACTCCCACAAGAGCAATGGCTGCAGAGAGCAGCCTGGGAACACACTGGCTGCATAAGGCCCCATGGTGGGGCCAGGCCAAGGAGGGCTGGGGGCCCTCTGGGAATAAATCAAACCAACCTCATCACATGTGGCAGGAATGCTCCCTGGAGAACAAGAGATGGGCACCATGGATTACAGGGCAGGTGCCTGGGAGCACAACCCAGCCTTCCCTCATCCCCCACCACATCAGTGGGGCCTTCTGAAGTCAGACCGCGGAGCTCACTGACTTTACCACAGGCTGGGCAACAGTAAAGTCACTACTTTCTGTACCTCTGACACCACCTCTGCCCTCCCAGTCTGCCCTGGATGACATGCTGACCTGGCTGGCTTATTAAGCAGGTCTTCAGTAAACACTATTGAAGCAGTATGGTTTAGATGAGTGGTGGGCAACATGGATGAAGGGCTCATTTTCAAAGTTCCATGAATCCCCTGAATTATCCACCCAACTCTGCACATCAATTTTTTTTTCTGAACCTCTCATTAGCATCTTAAAAAGGCAGTGATTCTAAAACTGTAACTCTGAACTCCAGACCCTCAGCTTTCATGGCTACCTGTACCGTGCAAGAACTTGCCAGAAGTACACAGTGACCTCACAAGAGCTGAGAGCATGTTTGGGTGATCGGAGGTCTGTTTAATCTAATGCTGTTTTCGTTCTGCTACTTGCAGCCAAAAGCATCCCCAATGATTCAGGATATAAAGCCTGGAGCAGTGTCTAAGATGATAAGGGCAAGACCTCACAGAGTTCACCAAAAGAATTTCTCTCCAAGCTTAATTCTCTGCTCAGTCCCCAGACAATAGGTACCTGCCAGATGCCCCAGGTCACAGGGAACTCACCCAGATCCTTCGTTTTTTCCCATGTCCAGAAAAAGGTGACTGACTACCTCATAGCTGGTTCATACCTGCTCAGGCCTGGCAGGTCCTGAGCCTCTGAAACTCATGCATGCCCCCTGGACACTTGAGAACATTCCAGCTCTGCACAAGAACCTGTTCCCACTTGGTTCACAGGAGTATGGCTTATACAAACTACAGAGTGCTCCCGAGCAGATATGTCTGCTATCACTTTGTTTAGGACATTTCATTGGTAGAATAAATTATAATGATTAAGCCAGGTAAAAAAACACAGACCGGAGGTCATATTTCCCTGAGAACTCACTAGACACAGAAGCCTGGTCAATATGTGATTCTGACTGATGTTAGGACCAGTCACCGCAGAAGCTCAATTTATCAGAGCCAGCAGTCCCTCCTGTTCCAGATGACCATTGGAACTCAGAATCCAACCCCAGGGGTAGCTGACTTGTCCCTTAATAAGAAAGTGTAAAATACCTGTGACTAGAGTCAATACTAAAATAAAAGTTACACGTGTCACAAAAATGTCTTATATATAGCTGAAAACATGAGAACTGGAAAATAGAATCTGCTTTATGCAGGAACAAAGGTAACTACTCAGAAAAGCAGTAAACTGCCTCCCCAGGGGGCCTTGACCACCTCCCCTCTGCTTTAGGAAATGACAAGGTCACATCAGGGGGAAGGGGGTAGTTTCCACCAGGGCACTGGGCTTACTCAACACCCTCCCCCTCCCCCTCCCCCAAAGAGGTTGGCAGACCTTGAAGCCCCCAGAACACCAAAGCCCATGCCTCCCACCCTTGGCAGAGAAAGGCCAAACTACACCATAAACCACAGACAGAGATGTTAACTGGCTGCTGGGCAGTGTGAACAGACCCACGGGTGAAAACCATGGCCTGAAACATTTTCAGCCCCAGTCAGCAGGGACATGCAATTTACAGGAAATTGGGGAGGTTTATAAAATGTTAGCAGCTCAAGTTTCTTCCCGGCGAAAAGAAGCAGAAGAAACTCTAAGATCTGTCTCTGTGAAAGTGCTTTGTTCACGGCTGAGCCCTGACACGTGTCAGTTATTAATAATACACACAACCACTACCTCATACTTGAACCCACCAGTGTGAGTCTGCAGAGAATGCTGTATTCTAAATGCATAACATAGGCTGCACCAAGAGCATCTGAGCCCCTCACAGCCAGACTTTCACAACAGGGGCCAGAACAGACACATGGCCAAAAACATGGGCTTAGATATGATCTTGGGCAAGTTGTTGATTCTTTCGAGGCCCAATTTCACCATTTGCATACAAGGATAATCATAAAATCTTTCTGGAGGTGCACTGGCAAATGATGAGCAAGTCCACCTCAAGTGCTTCATCCTTGTTAGTCCTGCGATTATTACGGGGGTCTTTCCAGGCTTTTAGGTCTGATCTGCTTACTCCTGCAGCTAGGTTGGAGGCTACAACTGCAAGTCTCATCAGTCACCCTCTCTGAACCGGTCCAGGAGAGAGCATGAGTCCTAGAGGAGCAAGAACCACTTGACCCAAGGAGGTTTCACACCAGCAGGGGCCCTGAAGCTCTGATCAAACCCCCGGTGAAGAGGTCTTTGTTCCCCTCTCCAGACTACACTTCAGCAGGGGCCATTGTGCATCTAGGATCTAACTGGGTGTCCAGGGCCCCCCGCTGCTGCCAGGCATCACCTCCTCCAGGAGGCCTTCCCTGACCTCTCATATTGGAGTGGGCTCCCACACCCCTGGGCTTCCCAGAGCCCAACACAAACCACTCTGGGGTGTCACTCTTTCTGGCGGGGGAGGAGCTGGCACCATGCCTGACACACCGTGGGGACCCTGCTGCATCAGTTCTATGCAAGAGCCCAGGCCTCAGTTGTGACCAGAGCCCCACCTCCCCAAATCCAGGCACAGTTAAGAGTTGTTTATACAGCAGGCTGCTTTTTTATCATTCAGATGAATCTGACAACTCTCCGGGAGGATCCCTGGCCCCCGTTAAGGCCATTTTAAAGGAGGAAAGAGCCCCCCCCCGCCGCCCCCGCTCCGACCTGGTCCCGCCGCCCACCTCCCCTCCGAGGAACCCCAGGGTAATTACCGTGGAAGGGTCCCCGAGCCGCGAGCAGGCCCTCCCCTCTGGGGTCTTGGTGACGGACCAATCTCACAATCGTACACCGTTACGCGGCAGCCCGCGACGGGGGCAAAAGGCCACGCACAGCCAGTCCCAGGACGCAGCCCGCGCGTGGAGAGCTCTGCGGAGCCGGGGGGCGGCCACACCTCCCGCCCCGGAACAAAGCGCCCGCCCGGCCTGGGGGCGGCGCGCCAGGCCCCCTCCCCTTCCCGGCTGCCGGCCACTCACCGCGCGCTCCGGCCACGCTCGCCTCTGGCCCGCAGGCCGCCTCCTCCACGATCGTGCCCGGGAGGAGGCAGCGCCGCGCCCGCCGGGCCCCGCGGCAGCTGGACTGACGGCTCCCCGCCAGCCAGCCCGCCGGCCGCCCCGGCCGTCCCCGCCCCGGCGCCTCCTTAAAGCGACCGCGCAGCCCTCGCGCGCCCGGAGCGCCTGGCGCGCCGCGCATTCCTTATATTGCAACAGCGCCGGCTAAAAATAGAGCGCCACCCCGGGCGCCGGGGGAGCCTGGCCACCGAGCCGAGTCCCTGTCGCCCCCGCGAGCACCCCGGCCCCCGCAGACGCACGCAGAGATAGGGTCCGGCCCACCCGCGCCGAGTCCCTAGGGCCCAGCAGGGTGCGCAGGCCAGGCCACCCGCCGGGCCCCAAACCGCTGCCTCCCCCACTTACCCAGAGCCCACCCGCAGCGCGGGGCAGCTGGCTTGGAGGTAGGCGCCGAATGGGAATTCGCCCCGGTCGCTTTAAAAGCATCGGCGCTCCAACCTTTAAATCTCTGGGCCAACTTCTGTTCCAGTCCTGGGCAGCTCCCGGCCACCACCTTAATTAACCGCGTCCCCTTCAAATCCCGAGCCGTCTTCTTCCTAGGTCCTGCAGCCCTAGTCGTTTCCCTGAGGCCCTCTGGGTGCTAAGATCCAGAGCCCAAAGTTCATGCGGATAATGGCGAGAGGCGACGCTCTACACGAGTTCGTTTGTTTCACCCCCCCCCCGCATCGTACCCCCTACCCCCATTTAAATTTTTAAGATATAATTTACATGCCATGAAATTCCACCTTTTCAAGTATACAACCCAATGGTTTTTAGGATATTCACAAAGTTGTGCAGCCAACACTCTGATCTAATTCCAGAACGTTTTAATCACCCCACCTTCACCACCACCAAATAACCCTACGAACAGTCACTCCTCATTCTCCCCGCCCCCCAGCTTCTGGAAACCTCTAATCTGCTTTTCAGTCTCCGTAGATTTGCCTATTCAGGACATTTCCCCTAAATGGAATCACACAACATGTGGTCTTTTGTGACTAGTTGCTTTCAGTTAGCACGATGTTTCCGTGGTCCATATGTGTCCTCACATGTTAGTACTTAATTCCTTATCATGACAGAATAATATTCTATTGCATGTAAATACAACATTTTGCTTATATATTCATTAGTTGATGGATAGTTAGGCTTCCAATTTCCGGCTGCTATGAATAAAACTGCAATGAATATTCCTGTACATGTCTGAACGTTTGTCTTCATTTCTCTTGGATACAGACCTCAGAGTGAAATTGCTGGGTTATATGGGTTACTCCCTGGGGAAACACCAAATTTTTCCAAAGCTACACCATTTTCCATTCCCACCAACAATGCAGAGGGTTTCACCTCCACATCCTCAACAATCTTTCTGGTTTTGTTTTGTTTTAATAGCCATTCTAGTGGGGATGAAGTGGCATTTTGGTGCGTGGGGGTGAGGGGCAAGTGCTGGGGATTGAACCCAGGACCTCTCCCATATTGGGCCCTAGTGACTGATCGATATCCCCAGTCCCATCTTGAGGTTTTGACGATCAGTGTCATTTCTGAGGGCATTCTTTTAGTAAGTGACTTGGAGCCAACTTTACACATCCAGGGAACCCACTCCCTTCCCATTTGAGAGTCTTTCCCTCCATCCCAAACCTAAGGGGACCTCACTATCCTGTGTCCTGAGGGCTTTGCAGAGGCTCTCAGTGTGATGCAAGCTCTCATTGGCATCCCAGCCACCCATGTAGCCATTAGGTGAGAGTGGTTGTAGCCTCCTGCCCCCACTCCCTTCTGTTGCTCCAAGGTCAAGTGGACCCCAAGAGGCCCCAGGGTAGGGAGAGCAGATTGCATGCCTCCAAGAGTACCTCACCTTGGCAATGGGACGTAATAGAGGCGTAATAGAGGCGGCTGGGGACTTCAGAGATGGGTTACCTTGACTGGCTGGGTCTTGCCCTGAACTTGCCTTTTCTTCTCCCTACCATTTACCACAGGCCCAAGGGAAGGTGATCAGAGGCATTCTGATTATCTGTCAACCGTTCGTGGGCTCTTTTTGTTAAGAAATGTCCTCCCTTGGTCCCTGACTGTGGCCCTTAGCAGAGTTGAGATAATATCTCCATGAGAGTCAAAAGATGTCGTCACACTGTTTCCATACACAAATTTCAACAACAGGTCTTCTCAAAAATGGAGCTTTCACAGCTGATAGCTGTTATGGTTTAGATATGAGATGTCCCCCCCCCCCAAAGTTCATGCATGAGACAAGGCAAGAATGTTCAGAGGGGAAATGATTAGATTATGAGTGCTGAAACCTAATCAGTGGATCCATCCACTGCTATGGATTAACAGTGTGGAAACTGTAGGCAGGTAGGGTGTGGCTGGAGGAAGGCAATCCTTGGGGAGGGGGGGTTCGGGGGCGTGCCTTTGGGGTTTGTCTTTTGTCCCTGTTGAACAGAGCTTGCTCTCTGTTTCCTGGCTGTTTCGAAATGAGCAGCCTTCCTCCAACATGTCCTTCAGTCATGAGCTGCTGCCTCCCCTCAGGTCCAGAGGTATGAAATCAACCATCTATGGACTGAACCTCTGAAACCATGAGCCAAAATAATCTTTTCCCCCTTGAAGTTGTATCTGTCAGGTCTTTGGCCACAGTGAAGAAAAGCTGAATGAAACAGTAGGCGCATCCAGGTAATCTGGGCTCCTCCAAGGGTGAGCTGAAACCCTGCAGGCTAAGCTAGCCCTTTGGGCTGCCTCCTCTGTTCTTGGAAACCTGAAATGTGGCTCAGTCGCTGGCAAGCAGAGGCTTCAGAGAACAGGTAACTGAGCAGAAAACCAAGGCCTGGGTTTGAGAGTTTATTCACTAAGTAAACTGCCAGAGCAGCAACCTACTTGTCAGAGTACCTACTTGCCAACAAGCTGAGTGCCAACCAGGGTCAGTGGCATGGGGGGTTGGTGGGCACCAGAGGAAGGGCATCTAACCTAAGCTATGGGTGAGGGTAAGTAAAAGCTGATGACTGAGCCAGATCTAGATGGGACACATAGCACTAGCTAGGCTGAGAAGGGAGGGACAGACCCTACACTGCGGCACGATTGCACTGAAATCTTTTCCCCAAATTCCAGCAGATCAGCATGGCTGATCAGGTGTGTCTGAAACATGGTAGAAGGCCAGACCCCTGACCGAGAACCCAGGCAGGGCTGAGGCCCAGATTTCATGCCCTGAGGTCCAAGGCCAGCCACTGGGTTAGGGACCAATTCCTGAAATGGGGCAAATACAGAGATGCTGGGCTGACCCAGTTGGGACCTCCCCCAGTTAGTGACAAAGCAAGTGTTTCATCCACTGTGGTGTGTCCTGTACCTGCTTCTCTGCCCCAGCTTGCTGAATGCGGTGCCTCAGAGAGACTTAAGCTGGTGCCTAGATGTTGAGCAACCCAGGGGGATCTGGGGACTACAGGGCTGGAATCAGCCAGGTTGTTGTGGTCCAATCTTCCTCTAAAATTCCTAATCCCAGTGTGGTCCCTGGGGGTAAAAGTAGCTCTGAGTTCCTGAGCACTCAATATGACATGCCCGACACTGGGCATGGTGATGGGGCCCACACACACCTCCTAACCACCCTGTCCTGAAGGTCTTACCACCCTGTTTTAGATATGAGCCAGCTGAGAGCCACGCCCACAAGGTGGTGGGCTGAGAGTCAGGTACTTCTGACTACAAAGCCAGTGCTCTTTCCACCATGTCAGGTGGCCTCCATGGGAAGGTCAGTCCCCTGTGTTTGGTATCGGGGAAGCAGGAGGAAGGTGAGCAGAATAGCACTTGTTCCAGACCCTGAAACTCCAACCACAGGTGAGCAAAAGAAGCTCGCCCCAGCTCCATGCAGGTTCCTGCTCTCAAGTGACCTTTCTCCTGTGCCATGTACAAGGCTCTTCATATTCTGTCCATGATTTAGCACCAAGAACTACAGTCTGCTCGCAAGGTTTCCAAGGCCTTTGCCAACCCTGGTCCAGTCATTTCTTTTCACCCTTCCTCCTAGCCTCCTGCAGCCTCCTCAGGAGTGAGGCCTCCCAGGGTTTCTTCTCGGTGCTTGTAGTTCATCCTTCACGTGGGCTCCCTCTTGCTCTTTGGGGCCAGAGAGCAGTTTCCAATCAGTCTGCTTCCCGCTTTCCACCAAACTTCAAAAGGTTGTCCATCCTCAACTAACAGGTTTGTTTCTGAGCATTTGTTTCCTCTATCTTGGCTTTTCCTCCATTTAAACTAAAATTCAGTGGCCCTTACATTTTGGGGGAGAATTGCAACCCATAGGAATAAGTAGGTTTTGCACTATAAATCAGAAAACACACACACACACACACACACACACACACACACAGAAGTGTAACAAAAGTTTCACAATGTGGATCTTGACTATGTGTGATGCCCTCTGATCTAATATGCTCTATTCTGTCATTAAAAGATGCTGGCAAGACCTACTAAATCAATTTCCTACCCCACTAATGGGTTGTGTCCTACAGTGTGAAATGCACATTTTGACAGCCAGAGCCTCCGTGGAGTGATATTATAGCAGATATTTGTCAAGAAAAAAAAGTCGACTTTAACATGCTAGAGACAATAGTTTGAAAAGAAAAAAAAATTCAGTTTGAGTTTTAAAAGCCCAGATTTCTGCTTCAAGGTAGGATCCAATAGGTCACAGCAGGTTAATGTCCCTATTGCAACAAAATGAGAGGAGGCTTTCCAGCTGTTCCCCCATCCCTCCCCACCCCTGTCTGGGACACTTGCCAATGTGGGGCACTCACTAAAGATCAAGTTTTGCCCAGAAGGAGGACTTTAATGGAGGAAGGAGGAACCAGCAAAGTGGCCACATGTGCTGGGATGACAAATTAGAACATAGAGGGCCTTAAACACATAATCAATTTTCTCCACATGACATTTGCTGAATTCTGGGCCTAGGAATGCATATAAAAGCATAATGAAATCTTCCACAGTTCTACAGTTCTTAGAAAACAAAGGCTCCCCCCCTCCACTGCCCCAGAAAAGGGCCTGCCTCAAATGCCAAGGCAGCTCCCACCTCTAAACAGTGAACAGATTCTGAAGCCTTATGGGGACAGAGTCTGGACTGCTGAATCGGGAACTCCTGGAGAGCAGAGCTGGATCTCCAGTCTTCCAAGGCTGAGGATACAGAGACCCTTGAGGTTCTCACCCTAAGAATAGGGTGAAATGAGATTAGTATGCAAGGAACAGGAAGACTCTATAGAAGTTGAGTTTTCTAAATCAAAACCGGTCCCAAGCCAGTTCAATTCTATATTCCTGTGATCATTCCTCATCCCCCATCTGCTTAACAGAGGAAAAGGGGAAAATTATACACAATGACTGCATATGATAAAAAAATAAATAGGTTGGATGCGGTGGCATACACCTGAAATCTCAATGACTTGGGAGCCTGAGGCAGGAGGATTGCAAGTTTGGGGCTAGACTCAGCGACATAGCAAAGCCTTAGCCACTTAGCAAGACCCTGTCTAAAAATAAAAAAATAAAAAGGGCTAGGATGTAACTCAGTAATAAAGCACCCCTGGGTTCAATCCTTAGTATAAACCAAACCAAACAAAACAAATTTAAAAACCAAACTAAAACAAACAGAGATAAGATTAGTGGTAT